CTGTGTCAGATACGATAATAGTCAGTAGATTCTCAGTAAGTTCGGTGAGAGTGTGCTACCTTATTGTCACAGTGATCAGGTGTCATTCGCACATTTTAGCCATGATATTTTGAACAAGTTCTCAAATGCTCACGAGAGATATATGAGCAACCGATTTTCACAAAATACACAGCATTCGCCGAAACTGAAAGATTACTATGAGTCCACAAAAGAATGGATGGCAGAACGGACGAGCGGATAGGGCAGTTGATGTTGCACACAGTTTATGTTAATGTGTTCAAATCAAATCAACTGGTCTGACGCCGAGATTGTTGGAGGGTGGGATGAATACCGCATAAATCCTACAGAATGTACATCACCAGTAGGTGAGGCGTTCAACACTGCTGTATAAACGGAAATCAACGAAGCATACCATCAGTCGGTAGTGAACTGTACTATGCACAGACACCGAAAACCCAATCAACTGCACATTCAGATTCAAAAGTGCAATTGTGTGTGTGTGTGTGTGTCTATCATTGAAATGTGTAGGACAGATTCACCACAAAATCATTCTATATTCAATTATCTGATTCCACTTCTTCTTCTTCTTCCCCTATGTCTGCTCTCTAAGTCTTTTCAGATGTTTTTTTATTTTTAATATCAGTTTTTTTCCCGGATTCTGTTATTTTAAGGGCTTGTTGTACCTTATTTAATGTTTCTTTTATATAAATATCAAACGTAATGTAAATTCTTTTATTATTGCTTTTGTAGCGTTTAGAATACATTATACAGGGAGAAGAGTGTTTTGAACGAATTTATTTTCATGCTGTACAATCGTATATATATGTTATTTTTTAATTATTATATCCGGTGAGGGAATTCAATCATAGGTGTGAATGCATAAAATAATAATAGTAGTATGAAATTCAATTAAAATGTTTGTGATTATAATCATAGTTTAATGTCAAGTGGCAAAATAATTAATGTTGTATATAAAATAATACATAAGGTGCGTAGATTTTGGAAAGGGGTACATAATTATAGGATTAGTAGACGAATGAATTGTTATATAACATAGTGTGGAATTTGTGGATCTAACAATTCACCTGCTCTTGTGGACCGAGGTACATTTGCCGTAGTCAGAGGATGCTTTCCACACGGATACGAGAACATATTCCAGCATGGTTTTACAAGGGAGAAAGGAGGTGTTTGCGAAGCTCTATTTTGGAACACCTGATCGACTTCCGTCACTCTGTCAACCCTCACCATGATTTTAAGATCATATTTAGAATCCATGCTAACTTCCTGCGTTTTCCTCTTTACAGACTTCTAAAGACAGCTGAGGCCTTGCACTTCATGACTTTAAGCTTGACCTTTGTGTACAAAAGAAGTATGTACCTTCCTTACTTCTGCCTTGGCCGTAGAGGGATAGACATTTATTTATTTTGTTTATTTAGTTATTCTATGTACCTTTCCTTTATTACTACGATTATTATTATTATTATTATTACTGTTCTCACTCTGAATCTTTTCCACTCGACCCACTTGACATTTTATACTCAAAATGATTGATTTTTATATTTTTATTTTTAAAATATTGAATTCAATCTTATCGCATTTCACACCATGTTATATAATATTTCATTCGTCTACTAATCCTATAATTATGTACCCCTTTCCAAAATCTACGCACCTTATGTATTATTTTATATACAACATTAATTATTTTGCCACTTGACATTAAACTATGATTATAATCACAAACATTTTAATTGAATTTCATACTACTATTATTATTTTATGCATTCACACCTATGATTGAATTCCCTCACCGGATATAATAATTAAAAAATAACATATATATACGATTGTACAGCTTCAGGATAAATTCGTTGAAAAGAGTCTCTTCGCTTAATATTGTGTTCATAATTTAAATGGTCTAAGTTCAGAAAACCTTTGTGAACAAAAGCAATTTTCGCCACCTCTGGTTATCCATTGAGATATGGATTATCAAATTACGGTTTGAGTAATAATAAACTCCTGTTGAACACAGTAAGGGGGAATTTAATTTAAATTACAGCTTTCAGCTAAGTATATTTCATTAAGCTCTCTTTTTCTGTTTCTAAATATAACTTTTAAAGCTGTTTTAATATAAATCTTGTGGTTCATATCGATTAGGACTTTGGATATAAATGAATTTGTTAGTCTTCCACCTGCGTCTATCAGTTTTCCAAGTGTCATCTGTAGCCTCTAAACATTTCAGCATATGTTCTCCCACTTTCACATGAAAAGTGCGACTTAACGTCTCTATCTATGTGTGTCCACACACACTTAAACTGGTATATATTGTTTGATGTGGCCTTATATTTTGTGCACTTTGTAGGTTTGTAGTGGAGCATACCTTTGGCTTTTTCAATAATAATAAGCCAAGCTTCATAGTGGGTTCTGTGGATGACTGAGTTTAATCTGTCTTAAAATCCTACTGTTCACTTCCCGATTATATGGTGATTTAATGAAAACATCTTTCTTAGGGACGGAATAAACTTCAGGTTTTAAAACTAGTTGACTCCTACACCGGTTTAAATGTTCTAAAGGATATCCGTTTCCAACAAGACTATGCATTAGTGTTTTATTTTCATCCTCTATAACACAAACTGTACAAACACTCTGAACTTCCTTGAATAATCACTTCATCAAGCCTCTCTTATACTTTGTTGGACAGAAGCTATGAAAATTTAACAATCGCTCCGTCAATGTAGGATTTCTGTGAATAGATCGTTTTATTGAACCATCGTCTCTCCAACTCCGATGTATTTCTCAAAATGCAAGCTGGATACGGCTTTCTTCCTCGCACTCCATTATGGATAAGATTTTATTTTGATAAATCACACAGTGTTGTACAGTAATATTCAGTGATGACGTTTCGAGCATAAACTATTGCTCATAATCATATCAAGTTACTCACACAACTTTTTTCCTTCATTTATACACATATGTGGAATCGATTAGACATTAGAATAAAATTCAATATGAGATAATGTACATTCAGAAATAATAATACGAGTGTTATTGATGTAAGTATAAAACTTGGGCACTGTGGTAGAGTATAACTCCATAATGGATAAGATTTTATTTTAATAAATCACATAGTGTACTGTACAACACTGTGTGATTTATTAAAATAAAATCTTATCCATTATGGAGTGTTACTGATCAATTACAATTAAATAGGAAATAAGATGAGTGTTTCTATAGTCATAATAAGTTACTTGTTAGAATGTTTTGATGTGTTTGAATTGAAATAGGATATTAAGATTATTTATTATTCTCTTCTGATTTGACCGGCGGTAATAATATCTTACATATTTCTGGTATTTGCATTGAGTCACTCCTGTTGCATGTATTGGGTGTAGACTCAGTGAACAAGGATTCGGTAATCAACCTCTCTCTCCACCTACCCACCTATATTACTCTTTAGAATTTTAACCCTATTCCACCCTATTGTGTGGTTGTTTGTTAATGCGTGAAGTGCAATTGCTGAGCTTTTTTCTAAATTACTTATCTTTTCAGGGTCAACAATTCTTCCCTTAGCTAAATTCTTATGTTCTGATAATCTGACTACCCCAGATATACTAGTCTGACCTATGTAATTGATTTCACAGTCATTGCAAGGTATTTTGTAAATTATATTATTTTGCTTAGTTGGGTCCACCGGGTCTTTTAGCCTACAGAGCTTGTCTCTGAGTGAGTTTGTAGGTCTGAATGCCACCCTAAGTCCTGCTTTATTAAGAATCCTACGTAGGGTCTCAGATGTCCCCTCATCATATGGTGAAACTGTAGACGACGTACATTCTCTCTTATTTATGTTACCATTACTAGTTCCACAATTATTTTTATTATTTTTTTGTTGCCTTTACTGATCTTCCTAATGAATTTTATGCGATGGTTATTCAACATCAACGCTTCTTCTATCTGTTTTATTTCGTCGTTTAGGTCTTTTTTGTACTACTTAGTGCTATGGCTTGGTTTGTTAGACACTTAATTAAGCCTGCCTTAACAGTTAACGGATGAGACGAATTAAAATCTAAATATCTATTAGAATGCATTGGCTTTTTATAAACGCTAGTGTGAAGTTTACCTTCTTCTATTCGTTTTATTTTACAATCTAACAAAGCTAATTTTCCTTGTTCATCTTCCGATTCAAATGTGAATTTTATTCCCTCCACTAGTGAGTTTATGTGTGTCAAGAAGCTAGAGATATGTTCTGTTTTTAACACTGTGAAAATGTCATCCACATATCTCCACCATATCTTTGGAGTAGGACTAAATGTATTTAGAGCAATATTTTCCCAACTGTCCATAAATATGTCTGCTACTATAGGGGATATTGGTGATCTCATTGCTACGCCTTCTGTTTGTCTATAGATTTTGCCTTGGAATTTAAAGATGGTAGATATGAGGCATAACTAAATTAGTAAAATAATCTCCTCAATGGGCAACTTTGTCCTATGAGCAAGTTCAAAATCTGCAGTTAGTTCTTTTTTAATTGCTTTTAAGGTAATATTGATTGGTATATGAATAAAGAGAGACTAGTTATATCAAAACTAACAATTTTTTCATTATTCTCTAGTTGAATGTCATTTAGTTTATTTTTCATCTCATATGAATTAGTTAGTCTAGAGTTTGAACGATTTCTAATGGGGCATACTATTAGAGCTAAATGTTTTGATAATACGTATGTAGGGGTATTTCTAAAATCTACTATTGGTCGTATGGGATAACCTGGCTTATGTATATTTAATAGTTCTCTCTTTAACGGGCTTACTACCGGTTAACCGAGGTTTAGAAATATGTGAACGAGTAGTAAAATGCTGTGGAGTTGTTTGCAAGCATTCCATTACTTAACTCTCAAGGCATCTCTTAGATAATGAACAAAGTAGAAAATTACTTCCCTTTTGTTTACCAGTAACATTTTGTGTTGGTTTTTTTTTCATTGTTAATTTTTTACTTGTTTTTCATAGGTTTATGTCACGGATTAAAGTTGACACCGCCAGTGATTATTGCAATAAGCAATATAAAATCGAATTCATTTGATGTATCTTGGTCATCTCCTTCATTACTACAAAAATTGTCGTGCCTTTCTTCAATATCTGCCTATGAAATTCTGTTAAATAGTCCACTGAAAGCGTCAAAATTAATCAAAATCTCATCATTTTCCAATTCTCATGATGAATTGAAATATACCATTGAAAATTTAACTGTATGCAGTTTTTATATTATTCAAATGAGAACAATCAGTACAGTTTTAATGAAGTCAAGTGATTGGTCAATACCGATATCTATAACTACTTCAATACCAAGTTAGTCAATATTGTATTTTATATGTTTATTTAAGAAAAATTTAAATTACACATAATTTACTCTTTGTTAATTGATGTAGAATTTTTTATATGTAACAGTTTGAAAAAATTTGTGCATTGGTTATATAATATTCATTGCTTTAACTTATTTTTGTATTTCTCAATGAATGAAAAAGAGTAAAATGATACAGACGTTTCGCTATTTAGTGTTGCTAATAGCTTCATCAAAGAATGATTATTAAAAAAGAACTTACCAAATCTCAGCCTATAATTAACAACTTGATCATCGTTCATCAGCCTTTGTCACGTTGGCCTATTGGTAAAGATAACAAAATCATCTGTGTAGATTGCTGGATATGACAAGCGTGTAAAATCATAAAAGCAGCATGTGCATACATAATGAAATTGCATATCACATTCGTGTTGATTTTGTCAGTTCTTTTGGGAGGAAGGTCTTGTAACCAGGTCGAGTTTTGTTTTATTCCGTCATTCCTATTCAGACAATTTGGATTCCACTTGCTATGAAGTGCTTCTGATGATATTTAACGTTCCTTGTGACTTCTGAAATTTTTCTGGGTTATTTCAATATTAGCAAAATCAATTCTGTGACCTGATAATATGGCGTGTAGATCCATAGCTGATGATTTTTCAAGCTTTTCTAGTTCAACTGGATATCTCGGTGATCGAACAGATGCACTACGGTGTTCATTTCTACTGATTTTGATTAATGTGTAGCGAATTTTGTCCGATGTATAACGCATCACATTCCAAGCATTTTATTTTGTAGACACAATAAGATTGAGAATCCTTAGGGATTCGGTCTTTTATATGGACAAGGTTGCTTTGCACTGTATCTGGTGTACTGAAGAAAACTCTGATGTTGTGCTTATTGAATACTCTTCTGATATCGTCTGAAGTTTCTGATCTATATGGAATGACAACTGTTGAGGCCTTTGTCCTTGAAATACATTTTCAACCATATTTAGTGTCGGTGTTGATTATATTAGCGAAGTTCTTTGGGCAGTTATTTTTCTTCAGAATCTCAGTAATGCAAAAAAATGTCGTTTTTGTTTTTCATCCATTGGGAAATGCAAAAACCTTTATAATGGTGGATGTATAATTTTGCATAAAATGTGTAATATTTCAATTTATTTCAATGTAAATTTTATTGCAAACCAACGCCAATTAGAGAGATCATTCAGAACCAGGAAGCACTAACAAAACCCAAAATCTAGAATTCAGTCTTCAGCTTATTGATGGTGACTGGATGGGTGTCTTAAAGCCGTACTCAAAAGTTTTGGCCAGTGCGACCTACCATGTCCACGTGGACTGGATGCTCACGGAGAGTATTGATTGGTGGTAGTGTTATATACAGCGCAAATTCACTGAAGGTTAGGAATCGTGGGTTATTGTAATCAAACCCGCTAGATGAACGCTCAACAAGCTAGACGTTATGTCCTGAAGGTCCTAACCTCGATCATTTGTGGGGTACTGAGTACGCGCCGATGAAAAGTCCCGAACAGCTACACAATACTCTCTTGCTTTCTATAATCTCTAACTGGTGTTGGCTGGTGACGAACAGATCTACATTGAAATGAATCCAAACCCCTACAAAATTTCCATAATCTAAATTTCAATTTATTAATTTATTCATATAAATGCACATGAAGGTAGAGAGACAGAAAACAAATGCAAAGATACTACAATATACAGAAACCTATAGACAGAATTATAGTTACAGAGAGAATAACGTGTCATTGAAACTAAATAAAGTATGTAAGAAATTTGTGTATCTGAATGAACAGTGGAATCTCACAGAACTTCAAATATGATGTTTATTAATTTCGAAGGTGAAGACTACACCAAGTAGTTAGAAATTAAAGAAGAAATATCCGTTTATTGGAATGTCTCTTCAACAGAATAGCTAACCTGAAAATTTACATCAAAATGTATGACACAGTTGCCAGACGCCACTGACTTGAATTGCGTCAGGAACTAGAATTTCATTTCAGCATGAACTGTTAATAACAATCTGTCAGTCCTGGGCTTTTCCATTCATTTGCGTCTTTGGTGGAGATAGTGTTGTCATTTTTACGGGGTGTGATTGTTAGTCTCACGCCAAATCTTCTCCCTTTCTTCCGGGCTTAATACCAAAGTGACTGCTTTAGCAGTGTTCCGACCAGGAATTCAAACCCGACTGGAGTGATTAACTGCTGAGCCTTCTACCATTTGACCACCGAAGAACAATTCTCGAATCAAAAAGCTGTTGCAAATGATTTCAACATTTATTTTTAAATATTTTGGGCAAGTAAATCTCAATCATCATTCTGTTTGTCGACAATGGAAAGACAATGATATAAGTACAATGCTGGAGTTGTACCATTTGTTTAGCACCGTTTTCTAAAATAAAATAAAGTGTTAATTGTTAACAAGAGTCAGAGGTTGTTGTCAGTCAATAGCAAACACAAATCAGAGTGTATGCAAAATAACAATATGGTGCAAAATAATGAATAGTCATACTTAATTGATATAGTTTAGTCGATAATTAGTGGCTTACAGTTAATTGATAAGAGACATGAGCACAAAGAAATTAGAGTGAATCACAGAAAAAATTAGACAGGATTCATTACGTAACAAACCAAGAAAAGAAAGAGGACGTAGTAGTAATAGAGGCCACATAAAATGCTTCTTAACAAAAAGTTAGCCATTTTCCAATTGGATAGCAGGAGCTTTTGTTGCTTGAAGCAGATGTAAGAGAAATTCCTGATCTAACATTACATGTGACAGTATTTTCCACCTCTATGCATGCAAGTGATAAAATCCTGCTGTTAACATCTTCTGTGTAATACATAGGACGTACAAGCAGGACAGTGGTTGGGCATACTCATGAAAACGAAAGGAGAACAAAGAACAACCAACAACTCAATTCTGAAGCATATTACTACCTGTGATAATACAGTCTCAGCATAGACTTCACTCGGAATCATACAAATATATACAGTGAGACTAAGCAGGTTGAAAAAATTTTGGTTACAACCTTATTCAGTGTAAGTTCTTGTGATCTATAAGGAAAAACCGGAATTCCCCGTCCAACTTCTTTAACTAGCATGGTTTTATTGTCAATTTTTGTTTTTCTGATTCGTTGCGTCATAAATTTTGTGTAATTTTTTTTGACACACTGTCAGTTCGTTGCGCTGTTTGTTTCCTGTGAATTTGTTCGAAATGACTGTCTATCATTTAGCTACTAATTAGTTAGTCACCTTCTCGACTGAGTAAAGTTATTCATTATTTTTCACATATTACTGTTTCTCAAACACTCTGATTTATCTTTCTTACCACTGACAATGATCACTAATTTTTTCTGAAAATTATTGTTGTATCATATCAAATTGCATAAATAACTAACATGTTAAGTGACCCACAATAGAAAACTCAGCGAGACTCTTGAAGTGAATACAGGAGTGAAACAAACGTACTGTCTACCCTCACAGACGAAATATGGTGGATTGGATTATGCTTTGGACTGTGCTTGAAAGTGAGAAAATAGAAATGCGTTGGATCTATAAAAATAATACAGAAGATCTAGATCTGCTGATGGTTTATGTTTAATATGACAAACTCGAAGACTTACGGGCGAAAACCAACAAGCTGGTAGAGGAAGTAGGCAGTGAAGACAGAACTTCAAGTGGACACTGGAAAGACGAAGGTGATGAAGATAACTAACCAAAGTCAATAACATGTACCGATCACTATCAACGGAAGAAATCTGAAAGAGGTCATTTCCTTCATTTCTCTGGGCAGCATCGTTTCAGCTACAGTCGGAGCAAATGAGGATCAGAAAATCAAGATAGACCGCCATCACTCTGAAATCAGTGTGGAAGTTTTCTGCACTAAGCATAAAGGACAAAGTTCGGATGTTCAATACCGATGTAAAGTTACCTCATCTAAATCGATTAGAAATCTGGCGCATTACGGAAAGAATTTCCAACAAGTTGCCAACTTTTATCAATATCTCCCATCGCTTGTGAATGAAGATCATAGGAATAGGAAGGATTTATTATTATTATTTCCTTTAATTCCTAGAGGAACATAGGGCTTCAGCCATGCGTCTCCATTGCGTTCGGTTCTCTGCTGTAGTTTTCACCTGGCTCCAAGTCTGCCCACACGCTTTCAATTCCTCTTCACATGATCTCCTCCAGGTCACCCTTGGACGACCAACTCGTCGCTTCCCTTTCGGGTTCCACTCGAGGGCTTGTCTAGTGATGTCACTTGCTGGTTTCCTCAGAGTGTGTCCAATCCATCTCCATTTCTTCCTGCCTATTTGTTTCACGATCGGTTCCTGGTTGGTTCGCTCCCAGAGATCTTTGTTGCTGATCCTCTCCGGCCATTTGATCTTGAGTATTGAGCGAAGGCATTTGTTAATGAAGGTCTGTAGCTTGTTTGAGCTGCTCTTTGTGACACACCAAGTCTCTGATCCGTATAGTAGTACTGACTTCACATTGGAGTTGAAAATACGGATCTTATTTTTGACGCTGAATGCTGTTGACCTTCACATAGACTTGAGAGAAATGAAAACTTGTCTTGCTTTTCCGATTCTGGCTTTGATATCCTCCTCAGTTCCTCCTGTAGTTGGGACGATGCTTCCCAGGTAGGTGAAAGAAGTTGTTTCCTTCAGGTTCCTCCCATTTATGCTGATTGTTGTCGGTTGTTGCTGTTGATGTTGGCCAGGAATCTTCATTACCTCTGTTTTGTCTATGTTCACTTGAAGTCCTATCTTTGCTGCTTCTTCTGCCAATTTGTTGCTTTTCACTTGCATATCTTCCAGTTTGTGGGAAATCAGGCATATATCATCGGCGAAATCCAAATCCTCCAAGGCTTTTGTGTCGGTCCATTTTATGCCTGTTCCCTGGTTGGTTGCCGTTGTCTGCCGCATTATCCAATCAACTGCAATCAGGAAGATCATTGGTGACAGTAGACAGCCTTGTCTTACTCCCGTCCTCACTTCGAAGGATTCCGTGAGCCTCCCGTTGTGGATTACTTGGCATGCAGCGTTGTCATACAGCTGTTGGATGAGATGTATAATTGTCGGCGGCACCCCGTAGTAGCGAAGTAGTTGCCAAATCACCTCTCGATCGACGCTGTCGAAGGCTTTCTCAAAATCGATGAAGTTGAGGTAGAGAGGTGACTGCCATTCCAAACTTTGTTCAATGATAATCCGTAGGGTGGCGATTTGGTCAATGCATGACTTGTTCCTCCTGAATCCGGCCTGTTCCGGACGAAGTTTTTCATCTAGGGCTTGTTTAATTCTCTCCAGGATGATGCGACATAGTATCTTGCTTGGAATGGACAGAAGCATAATTCCACGCCAGTTTTTACATTGACTCAAATCTCCTTTCTTTGGCAGTTTGAATAAGTATCCGTTCTTCCAATCCTCGGGTACTTTGCCCTCTTTCCACACCTTCCCTAGTAGTGGCATCATCAAGTCAGCTGTTGTCTCTGGGTCTATTTTCAAAGCTTCTGCTGGGATTCCATCTGGTCCTGGCGCTTTCCCAGCTTTTAGCATCTTGATGGCATTCAGGACTTCGGATTTCGTCGGAGGGTCGATGTTCATTGGTAGTTCTGCTTCCGTTGTTGGTATTGTTGGGCGCGTTGTAGGTGGCGGACGATTTAGAAGTCTTTTGAAGTGTTCAGCCCAGTGCTTCCTCTGTTCCACCTCTTTGGTGATTGACTTTCCATTGTCGTCCTTTATTGGCTTAATCTGTGTCGAACTTTTGCCCGAAAGGTGCCTAGTTGTTTGGTATAGTGTAGCGAGGTCTCCTTTGCCTGCAGCTTGTTCTGCTTCGTTTGCCATGGTTTCACAATATTTTCTTTTGTCTTCCCTGGCACTTTTCTTCACTCTTTTGTTCAGTGCATTGTAGCTTGCATTCAACTCCTGTTTCTGTTGCTCGTCGGTGCACTGGATAATCTTTTGTTTCGCCACCCTTCTCTCTTCTATTAGTTTCCAAGTGTCCGTAGAGAGCCACTGTTTGTCCTGCCTCTTTTTTCTGCCTAGGACTTCCATGCAGGTTTGACTCCACACCGTTTTCAATTTGTTCCAGTGCTTTTCGACGCTGACCTTTTCGTTGGTGTTGATTTGTGTCTCGGCTTTTTCCCTTATGTTTGCAATGAAGATGTCCTTTGTAGCTTGGTCCTTCAGCTTTTGAGTGTTGAACTTGGCTTGTGGTCTATCTGCAGCTCCTGTTTCCCTGAAAGCTTTTAATTTGATTTGGATTGTCCCTTGTACGAGGTAATGGTCTGAGCCAACGTCTGCTCCTCTTCTTGCTCTTGTGTCCAGTAGGCTGCGTCTCCACTTCCTCGATATTGTGATAAAGTCAATTTGGTTTTTGGTTTGCCCGTCTGGTGACACCCATGTAGCCTTGTGGATATCTCTGTGCTTGTAAACACTGCCACCAATCACTAGTTCGTTGAAGGCGCAGAAGTCGGCGAAGAGTTCTCCGTTTTCATTCATTTCTCCAAGAGCTTCTCTACCCATGATGAGTTCTCTTCCTGTATTGTCTGGTCCCAGTTTGGCGTTCATATCTCCCATTAGTATTTTAATGTCGCCAGCTGGAGTATTGTCTATTGCTGCCTGTAGTTGTCTGTAAAATTCTTCTTTCGTTTCGAGGTCTGCGTTGTTGGTGGGTGCATAACATTGGATTATTGACACTTTTCTTCCTTTGGAGTTGAAATAGGAAGGATTAATAACAACAAACTGTGGGAACGAACTAACCAAGAACATAGCGTTCGACAAATATATAGAGAAAAGTGAAGATGGACCGGACACACGCCTAGGAGACCACTGCATGACATCGTGCTCCACGCTCTCAAATGGAACCCTGATGGGAGATGATAAGCTGGGCACCTGAGGGTGACAGGGTGAAGATCGTGTGAGGAGGAGATGAGAGCTTGTGATCAATCGTGGGGCCAGTTAAAAAGGACTGCATAAATAGGACAAAATGTACATGTGATGCTGAAGCCCTATTTTTGATCCGGAACCAAAGAGAATAATAACAATATGTATTAGCTTTGAAGAAGAGTTACCCAGAACGATATCTCTTTGCTCTTTGAGCTATTTGTTCTTAATTAGTATCTGATACATGTACAATTTTTTTATTCTTTTGTTTTACTTTAGAGGTTATATCTGAAAGTCACTTTGAAGTAGAGAATATATCACCGACAACACAAAAAGTGAAATGGAGTAAATTTACTCTACCTGATAATTGTATGGCATTTATTCACCTATTACAAACGAATCAAAGACTTCACTCAAAAATGACTATAAGCTTATCATTAAATGAAACAGGTAAGTTAATATTATTTATTTATTCACTTATTGTTATGTTTGCAAATTTTACTGCTTTTAGTGACTTGTAAGTGGATTAGATCACGCTGCAAGTGGTCCAGGTTCGATTCCCGGCCAAAACACTCCTAAACCTTAGCTCATTTACTAGCCAGTAGTGAACCTGGAAAAGAGGTAATGTTGGGAGTGAGGCTATCGACATGACCCAGTAAAAACAACACCACTGGTAATATAACCTTGAAAGCTAGTGCTTGAAGCCCTATTTTCTTCTGAGAACTCAAAAAAAAAGAAAAGCACCAAACAAGCACAAGAACTCAGTCGTTTAAAACAAAAATAAAAACCGATTGGTTGTCTGTTTGTGTAACTGTTTGTTAAAGTTAGCAGAAAGACTAAATTCTGATTGTTCCGTTCCTTGATTGAATGTGCTATGCACCTATGAATTAATTTCCTACAAGTGGTTCCACTGATAAGTTTTGATGTGAGTGGAAATCCCCATTTAGATATTTAAAGGAAAACAAGGCGTTTGGGTGAAGATTCCCGTTCTACTGTAATGTATCTAGCATTACTTTTGATGTGGTTCTGTTCTCCCAGCTGCATGGTCTAATCAAGAAGCCCTCATAGTCTTTCTAGACAACTTCTATGTTAAGCGACCATTTTGAATTCTCCATGAATTATACAAATGTTCTTCCTGGCAAAATTTGTTGTGATTTTAACTGGTGGATGGTGACTAGCAGTGGAATCCAGGATGCGCATTTCGTCCGATTTGGGACTCGTCTTCTGGGTGTACCTGCATTCCCAAGTGGGGTACGATGTTCCCATTTAGCTGACGAGTCCCAAATAGGACGAAATGCGCATCCTGGATTCCACTGCTAGTCACCATTCATCAGTTAGATTCTAACTACATGCCCAGACATCGTCGAAGCATCTGCGCAAAAAGCCGACATGTCAACCTGAGACCGAGCACTTTGGTCCAATCAATCGAAAATCTAAAATTCAATTTGTTGTGATTGGTTGTTAATTTACATTAGAATTGTTTGTTTTTAAAGACTTGTTATTTGACCTTTCTTGTCCTATGAATTATTCCTTATTAGCTGATAAATCTGATCTACAATAATGTAACTGTTGACACTGATTCGTCTGAATATCAGGCTTCTAACAAGTCTCTGTCATTCTTATTATTTATAGTTTCTAAATGGCACTGTATTAAAACTAGAGCTATTTACCAGGATCTAATAGAAAAGTAAAAATTTTGACACTATCAAAAACAAAAGACAATAAAAGAACATTTTATTTCACACGTTCTTACCACATGCAGATCACTATATAGATTTAGAGTGGTTCTTAAAAACTGTCAATACCATACTCTAAACACTGAAGTGATACCTCAGAATCCAACATCAGACTTTTTAGCTCCTATCATAATCATTTTATGCGCATTAGGAAACAGAAAGTTCAAGATATGAAAAGCCGGTAGGAGAAAAACCAGATTTGGGCTTTTTATTTGATTTTTCTGTGATTCCACTGATTTCTAGATTTGAAATCTAACCGCTTTTACCAAGTTGATAGTTACTGCGGAGCTCGTTACGTTGACTATTGTTATATAAATGTTATCATCTAGACCCTCGAACACCTTTCAGTATGGTTAAACAAACGTGTTATAAGACCTGTCAAAAGCTAAATACTAGCCCAATATAGTTCAGATGAACTACAAGGTTAATTAATGTAGACCAGCAGTTCTCTTTCATTTACTCTGTTCCTACCAACTTTACGAAAGCATCTGGATTTCTAATTTTTCCAATAGCAGTAACGAGAGTAGTTCGAGTGAAAATATCATAAATTATACACCCAGAAGAAATACGTACAATCATTACTGAGTAAACTGTTTTAAATGCTATAATTTCAGAATGTAAATAACGGTGTTATTATAAGGAATGTTTAAACATTCAGATCAACACTCTCGCCCAGTGAACTGATGATTCTATCTAGTTTTGATCCCCAATGAGCTCATAAATAAGCATAAGTGAAAAGTGCAAAAATAGGACGGATTAACTGTCTAGTTATTCCTGATGTTGGTTCACGACGAAACATAGCTTGAAATCAATCAAATATTTTGGTTACCAAGACTTGAAAAATAAGATTTATTGCCGAAGTTATCTGAGTTGCTGTTGAAATGGAGTAATGTTAAAGGTCTAGATGAAAATCTGTTGGATGGATAAATATATAACCAGCTTCCTGACGTCATTTCGTGATCAGAACTTGAAATCAATCAAATATCTGAAAAACCAAGACTTGAAAATCATTCAAATTCTGACTTGTGAGACTGATTACAGGATAAGAATAATTACTCGCCGATGACATCACTTGGCAGTGTCACTCAAAATAGAAAAAATGTCAGAAGTTTGAATTCATGGATAAGCTACAGTGAATTCTGTCTCAGAGGCTGTATATAGCTGACAAGCTCACCTCGTAAGCCTAAAGTCCTGGGTTCTATCCTCACTGGATGGGCGTAATGGGTGTATACAGTTGAAGAAATCTAAACAAGGGAGAAACAGATGTTCAGCACACCTTACTGGTTTCCAGTGGTTCTCTAACTGATGTCAGTCCGTGACCGGAACTTAGAAGCAAGATAAAATTCCTAAAATATTACTGGTGTGTTGCCCATCTAACATCACCTTACTAGTTCCATCATCCTGTTTTCTTATTATTTTCTTCTATATGTACTGACACTGAATTAGATCGTAATCAAAAAAGGTGATAAATTGTCGATCTGATGATCCAAAGTAGTCACCTCTCGAGTAAAGCTTATTTCTATAGTTAGTTTTAAAGGGGGATCTACTACACTTTATATAAGAGGTTGCCATATATTCTCTAGGCTTAATCCAACAAAAAGGTTTGCCAGGTAATTAGAATAAAGATAAAGAGTAGTAGGAAGTGGATAAATGTTAACTGTATAGTGATTGTTTTCTAGATTGTTTTAACATCTTCCCTCAATACGACACAATAATAATGATAATAATAAAGTTAAGATATGAAGAAACTAACAAAAGCTTGTACATAAGGTATCACTATAGTTCAAAAGGTCAAGAATAAGTAAAGTTGACTGTAAAATAACTCATATACAGTGTATGCGATTATCTAACAACCAACAGATAACCTATTTAAGTGTCAATATTTAAAAGCAGGCGTACATCTAGCCGGCTGTATGACAGAGAACGAATTTACTAGTTATTCTTCAGAAGTTTCAAAACTGGATCAGAAGGAAAATGGAGACGTCTGTATTTCAGGAGAGTGATTAGTGAACACAGAATTTTCTTCATCAATTTCTACAATTGTGTATCCATAATACTTAGAAAATTATTGTTATGAACAATGTTACTGTTTTGTTTAGTAACATCACAGCATTAATATCAATAAACTGCTGTTTCAAACATATGTATGCGATAAAATACAAAAACAGAACACTAAATTTTTTTATCAGATAAATTAAGAAAAGTAATACAGGATTAATGAACTTGTAAGTTCCACAGTAGTCTGGAGTAGTAACACTATCTGGGTCTGTTTCTTTTGTGCGCAGATTTCAGGTTGTTTTAAATTAACTGCTATGGCTTCTGTTATTAAGAGCATTCGGTATCTTGAGAAGCTTTTAGCAATGTGTTTGGTACCTTATAGATGACAGAAATGTTGGCTTTTGTGGCCTATTTGAACCAGGGGATCTAATATCAAGCTTTAATAGTTTTTAATTCATCTTTATTTAGTCACAATGGTAGGTGGTCTCGAGCACAAAAAATGACATTCTTGGAGGAATGGCCAATATAAATAGCTTTACAGGAGCAGTTGGGTTGATAGAAATAGGATGAGTTGGTTACTCTAGGTACTTCGTCTTTCACTCTCGAAACAAAAACTGTATGCCAGGCATATAAGACTATACGTGCAGCGTGAGTGGTTGACTATCTTTTTCATATCTTGAGTTCCGATTGGATTATAAGATTTTAAGCTTTTAGATTTCAGTTGCGGTGGACTTTACAGTTCGGGGTTACTTCCAGCCTTCCTTGTTTACCGAGTTCACTGTTGGCTGGCATACTAGATGAGGTTTATGGGTGTGTTGACCAGGAATCGAGCCCGGACCATGTAAGTGGCAGGTCAGCATTCTACCCCTGAACCACTCACTCTATTACTGAGGTTCAAAGACAACTGACATAGGCATAATTTGTGTATCCCTCACTTACAATATATTATTATGAGATCAGTGTTAATTAAAGCTCCTTATGTTAAATGAATAAGAGTCTCATTTGAAGTTCAGGTAGAGGAGGTTTGTATCTGTCGAAGCTAGAACTGGTCTCGCTATCCATATTTCTAGGAATCGTGATTATTCAGTAATAAATACCAGCTATGAGACTATATTTAAAAATAACAAAACAGTAAATTCACATTTGTTGTCAACTGTATCAACCTAATTTTTGCTTGCAGAATATATCTTTCATAATTTGGATCAATCAACTCAATATACGTATCAGTTAAAAGTGATATCACCATTTGGGTATTATTTAAGACATTATGTTTCAATAAGTACAACCACATTGCCTGAAGGTAAGTGAGTAAAATTCAAATTAAATAAATATTTTAATTTGTCTGTTTGTGTAGTTTTAAAAGTGTTTAGGAAGGCATCCACGGGTTATATGATTTTCTAAAGTCAGTACGTGGTGTAGACTCCTTTGAAAAGGTTATATATATTCTATTGAGGATTTCCTTGAAGATAACGTCATCCTCACCTGCACAGGAAGGAAACTCGATGATGCAACTAAACAAGTGATTTCAGCAATCAACCTCCTCCCAGTTTAGAAAAAACTAAAGTAATTAGAATGGGCTAGTGATTGATTTTTGTGGGAACCCACGTAACCCGTTTCTTTTGAAGCTTAATGCAGGCTATATTGTCTGGATTGACAATGAAAGTCACGCAAAAAAAGCTACCGACTCACATACTAAAATATTTTGAATTGCTACAAGATGAATAGAAACAATCAGCCAGAAACGTTAGGCTCAGATTTTGCTTTTTTCGCAGCCATGAGCAAGAAGTATCTGCAAATATGAAGGAACTCATGCCTCCTTTACTGAGATAGGAACCCTTGTCACCCAGTAATCCAGTCAAAGACGTTATTACTCAGCTGTTTGAACATTTTACAGAAGCGTGACCGATTGAATTCAGTCTCAGACAACACTAGTGAGTAATCAATGTAAAACACTTCTCATGTTCTAAGTTTATTTTTCATTAGCTGAGCGAATCGTTTTCTATTTCATGCTTTCTTGATTCGGGTCAGAAAATTATCTGCTCTATCTTCTCTTCGTTTTGTCTTTCAGCACTCTGATTATTTCCTTTTCTTGTAGCTATGTTCATTCTTTTTATCTGAAATACAGAAATGAGGCGTGACACCACAGACTATAGACTGGTAGTTCTAGATACATTCTATATTGATGATGTTCGCCTGTCAGTATAAAATTGTTGGACAACTTTTCATTCATTCAAGTGTTTGTAAGATGATACTACACTTCAGGCAGAGAAAATAAAACTCCATATGAGCACACAAAAAACAGGGATGATGAGGTTACCCAAAAGACAACAGCAACAAGTACCAGTCACTACCAACTGGAGTGATTTGAAGGAAATCACTTCTTCCAGGTATCTAGACAACATGGTTTCAAGTACTGACGGCCCGGATGATGAGGTCAAAGTCTGTGTCGGGAAGTGAAGACAAACATTTCTTCCTTTGAAATCAACGGAAACATCTACTGCACTCAGCCCAAAGAACAAGATTCAGACTTTCAATACCACTGTCAAGTCGATCAGTGCTTTACTGAAAGCATCTCCAGAGGCCTGCTGCAGACTTTTATCAGCATTTGCTTTTGCTAAATACCGGATATCAGATTGTCGGCCAGAAATGACAAGCGACATGGAACTTTGACATCGGACCAACCAAGAACGTGTAGTCTAAAGCATATACAGGAAGAAGGGGAAATGAATTAGACACACCCTGAGAAGACCATTGAGTGACATAACTCTCCCGGTAGACTTTTGAGTAAGAGTATCGAATTGGTCGTGGGTCAGAGAAAGGCTCGGAGAAAGCCATGTTCAGAGTAAATAAGTGCAAGCTAATGAGAAATCCTGCAGCCAGCTGCAAAAGACCGAAGATATCAGAATGGATGGAACATGTGCTGTTGAAACCCTATGTTCCACTCAGAACCATAGGGATTCATAATAATATCTGTGCGAAATCAAAACATATTATGTTAAAATAATAAAGTCCTACTGGCAGTATAACAGGGACATTCAAAAAAGATCACTCTGTAATAATTGCAGAACACTAGTGATTGCATATTCTGTAGTCATGTAAGTGAAGTTCTTTAAAAAATTTTATTTCAGAATGAAACAAAAACAGAAGTGCTTGTAAATTTGACTACGTTTTTTTCACATTTATGTGTAAACTAATATACTCTTTCACCAATTAACTTCATTCCAAACATTTAGCTCTTAAGGTCATTTGAATTATGGTTCAACTTAATTATGTAACTCAATTTTCATAAATTAATTATTAAAATGCATATTTTCAACCTAGAAATAAAATGGATCGTTCAATGGTAAAACATTCACCTACCACTGCACAAGTGGCCCAACGGATTCAACCCTAAACAACATCTAGTTTACTAGCTGGTTTTAAGTTCAGGAAAGAAAGGCGGTTGGGCGTTAAGCTAACAATCCCATCCTGTAAAACAATACCATCACTAATTAGGCTTCAAAACTCAAAGTATGACGCCCTATATTGTACTCGGAAAGCAAAGCAATGAAAAAATAACTAAAACTAATCACTTATTTAGTGGAAAAAACACTTTTACTCGGGATGAAACCAAAGAATGCTAAGAATTTGATTATTATTCTTTCATTGGAGTGCGAGTGAAAAGTCAGGCTTCAGACAACATCTTAGCAGTATTCTGTTCTTTGCAATCACTTTCAGCTGGCTGCTGTAAGACTTCTTCTCGCTGCCAGACAACCAAGTCATCGCTTTCCACTCAGGTTCCACTGGATCAGACCCGATTTGTGATGTTACTTGAAGGTCTCCTCAGCATGTGCACAGTCCATCTCCATTTCTCTCTGGATATTCTTGGTCTTAACCCTGGAAATCAAACCCCAAAAGATAGTCTGATTTCTACTGAAAAAATGCATAGAACTCTAGTTACCTGTTAACTGCAATATGCTTAAGGATTTTACATCTATCTTCAGGGACTGTTTGTGTTGCTTCATTCTTACATTAAACTGTCAGTAAGTTTATCCCAAATAAGCAACATCACTATCACGACCCTTCGTTTCCTATACTCATTTGTGCAGGCTTTCTTTTGATATCAGATTCCTAACCTTTATCTGCATTCTGACACACCGCTTATTATATAGCCACTAAAGACTGATAATTCTGATGACGTATGCTTGGAGGCTTTGGTAGACAGTTTTGCCTAGCCTAGGTTTTGTGCTTGTTGACGCTTGTCAGCAAGACGTATCTGTATCCATGAAGTAATTGATGCCCACTTCCTAAGATCTGAACCCTCAGTGAGAGGCATTATCACTGAGCTATCCTGGTTCACCATTTGATTATCTGTTGGACTGTAATGCATACGTTGATCAGCCACTAAAGAGTAGCTAATATCACGTGTCTGGTTCCTGATGTTGATGTTGACTAGAAATTTTGTTTAGCAAACCACTCATAACTTTGAAATAACCGGAGGATGAGTAGTTTTGACAACAAAACCTAATTACCCATTTGTTCTCTTACTTTTTTATTATTTCCGTGAAGTACTTCATTGGAGAGAACGCGCAGATGGCTTGTTTCAGGTCAACTGACATTTCTACAAATATAACTTCCGATACGTACAGATTGTAATACTCTACTTTTTGAAACTGTCGACAGTTGAAAAAGCAACTGACAGGATGCATGGAGTTTGTCCTTACTTCATCGAAAATTTGTGAAGAGATCCGCGTGCGAGAAAGCTATCTTTTTATATTGCATTCATGAAAAATTCCAAAATGATTTGAATTTAAAACACGATAAGTCCGCAAAAGGAACTTTATTTTCGTAATTTCTCCTCAAAGGTGTACAGTCAGTTATTAAGAGGTTCATATATTTTACATTATTTGCCATCAGGAGTCAGACGTAAGTTTTAGTTAGTGAAAAAGATAAACCAAAATATCTGAGAAGTAGCAATACTCGAAAAATACCGAATAATCTTACGTAATCGAGGAAGTTTATATTTAGTTAATTAAGGAATATTAAGTTATTTGAAGTTAACTCTTAGGAAACAGGAGTATGAATAAGCGAAAGTGGGTCAGAAAATAAATAAGTGGAATTTATTATGCAGTAAACCAAGAAAAGATATAGGTCATGGCGGTCAAAGAGACTGAATAAGACATTTTCGAGCGTAAAGTTCAGGTTTCTCCTTATGGTTGCTTAAAGAAGATGAAAGCCAAATCGTTCCGACAGGCTTCATCTTTCTTTATATATAACTTTGAATAAAGTTATACATAAAGTAAGAATAAATAAATAAATAAAGTAAATAAAGAATAAATAACGTAGCATGACCGAAAGTAGGGGTGTGCTCTAGAACTAGTCTGTTGACTGTTCTCCACTCTTTCTTTAACAGTCATGCTGGTAAATGTTCATGGGCAAATTGGGACAATGTCCTACTAGTACGGTCTGTGTATTTTCCCTTGAGTTCCAAGTGAAAAGTAGGGCTTTTATGTCACATTTCCATATATTTCAGCTGACTGCCCATAAACTTTCATTTCCTCCTCCGCATGTGACCTTACCCGCTTCACACTCACCCGCCCAACTCGTCGTCTCCCATTCGGGTTCCACTAAAGGATCTGGCGCGCGACGTCACTCAACGGCTTCCTCAGAGCATGTCTGATGCACATTCATTTCCTTCTGCATATTTATTGGGCAACAGGTTCTTGATTGGTTTGTTCCCAGAGTTTCTTGTTACTGATCCTTCTCAGTGGGCCATCCGATCTTCAGTACTGAAGTAGCGAAAGCAACTGTTAAGGAAAATTCGCAGTAGCTTTTTGGAAATGATTTTCGTGACTCATACGCTAAGGCTTTAAGCACATAAAACCACTGACTGAAGTGATATTAATGTTGAAAATCTGAATCTTGTTTATTATGACGCGTGCAGTAGATTTCTATACTGATTTCTGGGTAATGAATGTATGTCTTGCTTTCCCAATCGTGGCTGGTTTTGACGTTCTCCTCCGTGCTGTCACCTGTAGTTGAGATGATGATGTTTACCTGAGCAAAACAGGTAACTTCTGTGACAGATTTCTTCCTTTAATAGTAACTGCTGTTTACTCTTTTTTGCGTTATGCATCTTTATCATCTCTGACAGGAACTCGTAAATACACATAGACGTTTCCAACAATGGGATCTTATCTTTGACGTTTTCGTAAAAAGGAACATGCGTCCAGAATGCTGCAAAAGTTGACATTAAATAAATGCATTCCAAATGAATCAGAAACTTATTTTGTAAAATTAAACTATCAAAGACTATAAAATGAACTTAATGAAATCATAATCAGCGTGATTAATAGTGTTTAAAAAAAAACTAATTTTATTCCATCTTATGATAAATTTTAATTTGAATGAAATAAAGTACCTGTGTGTGTGTTTGTACGCTACAGTGTAAGTGAACCTAACTCCGAACAAATAAAGCTAATTGCAGAAAAACAATCAAAAGGTTCATTTGTCGAAATGCATGATGAAAAAAATAGGGAGTGAATAATTTAAATGGAAAAAAGATTTCAGTGAAAGCGTTACTCAGCAACCACTTGCCGATTCATATGCATTTGGTAATGAATGAATCATGCACCTATTATGTCAAAGAAGAACCAATGATAATTACTACCTGGCTGTTCAGATCTCAATAGATAGCGGAGGGGGTGGGGACTTGAACCTGTAAACTAGTTGTTAGAAGTCCAGCTTTCAGGTTGTTGTGGACTCTAGCTAGCGATCATCTGACTAATAGTGCGATGTTCTGCCAGCTAAAACACGATGCCCAATTGTTCACGTGATCATTGCTTCAATAAAATCATTAGGGGCATTGACCTGTTTATCAATAATTAATCGCAGCTCAGTTAAAAGAGCCATGGATTGATCGTCCAGAGGTCTCTGGCTTAAATCTGCTATGACCAAAATATTCACTTCACCTTGAGTCAACAGCAGTTGGCCAATCCAAGACCATTGCAGATAGTTTGACCACTAAATCATGTATTCCCGTCACAGTTCTTTGATTACGAACAAAGACTTCATATTTTGCAAACCACTTTCCCCAATAACCTTTATGTGTATTAATTTTTGGAATTACGAAATCACTGGTTTTACTCGAAATGGAATGCAAGAATTGTAAAATCGGATGATATTTTATGGGATGGTACAGAGCTGATAGAGACTATTTTTATACAAACCTAGCGATGCCATTGGATAGTTTAAGCCAGTTGGTTCCATGTGTGAATTTCTACTAAAGTCAGTTCGTGACTGGATTCCTGAGAAAATTATATCTGATTTTAGCTTATTTTGATAATCCCACTACTTTATTCTTATCTTTTTAACAGCTCACTTACGTAACATAACTATATATCCTCCTCGACACATTAACATTTTAAATATTACATCGACATCGTTCATAGTGAGTTGGTCACCACCATTAAATGATACAAATCAATCTTATGTAACCGGTTATGAAATCCTACTGACCAGTGGTTCCCTTAAGCCATCCAAGTCAACATCCGGATCATCATCGGTCATCACTGCCGTAAAAGGTGTTTCAAATGATGAACAGTTCCAAGAAAAGATTGAAAATTTAATTTCTTGCAAGCTTTACACTATTCAAATGAGATCAGTTATTGATTCAGCTTTGACAGTATACAGTGAATGGTCACAACCAGTATCAACGTTCACTTCAGTTACAGGCAAGTTTGCAGTGTTGTATTTTCAGTACTGTTAATTACGCTTTATTATTATTTTTATTATTATTCATAAGTGGAAGGCATATTGCCGCTGGAAATCATTCTCAGTGGCTCAGATTCATTGGTCCATTTTGAAATTCAAGATCTATTACATTTTCTTTATTTTCCACGTGTTCATTGCTTCTCATCTAGATTTTCCCTTATTAAATTTTTTATGCATTTATTTTTTGTTTCATACCTACCAGTCTACGTGTTTTTATGAATAAACGGTCATCCAGTGTTCAGATCACTTCGTTCTGGATAGCAAGCACTACAAGTTGATATAAGTGCTACGTAAGTGCTCGTATCAATCAATCCGTAGTATATAGCAGAATGCGTGGATGTTTACTTTCCTAATTATCGTTGACCGTACCACGTAGGTGTGATTAAGTGATTTGAAAAATTACAGTTTCCAAAGAAAACTGTGGTGAACTACCACTTGCAGCCGAGTATGTAATCTGACAATTGAGAATTCAATTCAAAAAAATGCATACCATACCTAATAATTATCAGCCATTAATCATCTTATCCTCCCTGTTAAAGTATGATGAAAAATATAGAGGTTAGGCGTAGAATGCTCGGTAATGGAGGTAAGTCTGTAGATGAGGTTGTGAAGCTACATCAACTGAGATGTCGAGAACACGTGTCACACATGCCGAACCACAGCCTTCCTTGTTGGACAGTGTTAGCTGAGATAGGATTACGTTGCAAAGGAGTTAGATGTGGTCAAATCTAAACCCCACATCAGTTCATGAAGTCTGATACTGTTGATTTAATTCAGGAAAGAAAGTTTAGACTGCTTGATTGGACTAACCAGGATGCCAAAATCCAATGGTTTAAGACTATTTTTGATTTCGCTCAAAATTCTTCCCAGTGGAGTAGATGCATTCACTCCATATAGTCTTCTAGATCCATTAAAGTGTTACTATTCTTTCTCTCACTCACTTCTGCTCATTACAGTTCTTTTGAATCTCTTTTTTCGTCACCTTTATGTGCCACACGAAGTGTGAAAAAATAAACTTGTGCACACGTCGCCTTTTGCTAACTTATTCATTTTCTACTTGTATTATGCAGAATAATATTATGTAATGAACTACTGAGAGATTATTATTAGACTGGATAATAAGTCATCAGTGATTCATTATTTTATCCCACTTACGTCAACCAGCAGTGTATCAGACGACAATAATTTGCCTACATATATCACTCGGTTTTTCTTTCATCTTTGAGTTTTAACTGGAACATAAGGCTTCAGTCTTAAGCTATGAGGTTTCAGTAGCAGTTGTGTTTTCTTCTGTGGGGTAGGGTTGCTAGCTTCACGCTCAACTTTCTCTCTTTGCGGGGCTTACTACCAGCATGCGTCGATCACATGCGTGGTTGAGCGAGCAATGTACCACTGAACAAAGGACAGATTACATTCAGTTAGAACGACGAATGTATATATGTATATGTAGGAGGCAGTTTAGATCGGTGTATGAAAATATCAGGATTTCATCATGAACTGACATCGAGTAAAGAGGCATTGGAAAACCAGCTGAAAGCACTGGACAGCTGTTTCGCCCCAGTTTGGGACTCTTTATCAGTACGCAACCACTTGGGTTCGAACTCATGGATTTCTGGTCATAAGACTAGCTCGTAGACCATTAAGGTACTGGGACTAGATCCACTGGTCCACGAATTCCAACCAGTTCACAATATCGCGTGACCACTAGGAATGTCATCGGTGAGTATTTTTCCTCACACCCTGAAGGTCCGGACTAGAGCCCCAATGGGCGCGTACTGTTAAAGAGTCCCAAACTGGGGCGAAAGAGCTGTCTAGTACTTTCAGCTGGTTTTCCAGTGGTTCTCTAACCGCTGTCAGCTCATGATGATATCTTGAAATCGATCAAATCCCTGCAAGCCAACACTTGAGTATGAATGTTTATTCTTCAATAATTTACACTTTATCAATATTGAATCAGAGTGAACATATTTGAAATGTGCTATAATCTTCTGAGAAAAATCTGTACTGATTACAGTTAACTGTAGGTACCAGCTTTCAGTAGGTTTTCATCTCACTTGCCAGGACATATTGAATTGTTGGTAGCTATTACTTAGCTACAGAAAAGAAGAGAGGGGAGGAGTAGAAATCTGTGGGTCACATAGCTGTAATTCTTGCAGCCTATTCAATTATTATGCACATTTACAACCCAAAGGTGGCTTAATAAGTGAAGTAATAATTAAGAAGTCATAAAAATTGATTTGAAGAACACTTAAAATAACCTTAGCTCTGCATGTAATAGAAATAATTTAAACCATTATTGCTATTTTTGCCCTTGAATTCATAAATTTCGTATTCTTCTTTTTCTTCTTCTTAATTTATCTAATATTGAATTTAGCGTTATACTGGTGCACATTATCATTGATATTATTGATTTGATGTCACCTGCAAGTTTTAGAGTTTATGTGACATGAAACATACCATCTGCGAAATCCAGATCTTCTAGAGTCTTCTTATTGGTGGTCAAGCGTACTCCTGTCTCCTCTCTCTCCACAGATTGAAGCATAACCCAGTCCACCATAATTAGAAATATCATCGGTGATAATAAGTAGGCAGCTTTGTCTTACTCCTATATGCACTTCGAACGCCATGCTGAGTTTTCTTATGTGGATCACCTGACACATGGCAATGTCATACATCCAACTGTTGAATAAGGTTGATAAAGACTTGGGCACTGCATGCCGTAGTGTTTAAGCAGTTTCCAAATTACTTTGTGGTCAACACTGTCTGCCGAAGTCCTTTTTGAAGTCGGTGAATTTGAAGCAGAGGTTTGACTACCATTCTATGCTTTGTTCGATGACGATACGTCGAGCTGCAATTTGATCAGCACATAATAATAATTCTCTAATTATTATGGATCTATGACTGGAGAACTTGATGAAGAAGCTACTGAAAAGAATAAGCTTTTTTGTCCGCCAACTTCAGTCTCTCCAGATGATTCTTATTCTGACAAAAATACCAAATGGTAAAAGTGTATATAAAAACTAGCGAAATAAATTATCATACTAAGTTGAGTTCCACTTGTCTAGAGTAGACAAAAACTGTCTAATGAAATGATAATTTATTCACCAAAAATACAAAAATTAAGCAAATAAAACATAAATATAAGCTAAAACCCTTCTGGATATCATATGGTAAAGGAATTTCAAAAATGTAAACAGTGCTTAGCTTTTGGTGCATACTACTGATTGTTTGATATTAGTAGTTAGAAACTAGTGCTTACCACATCAAGATGATATATACACCGGACAGTATTTTCTCTCTTTTGCTGGGACCGAATTTATTATCAGTGTATGTGGTGCATTTCAGCTCAGAGAGGTTTAAATCAGTTCAAAACACCCGAATTCTGGCTATTTCACATGTTTTTGAATAGCATTCATGATGTGAAATAGATCATATATACTTTATTTTGAATATTTTGCTTTCCAAAGGGAACTATAGTGATTTCTCTGCTTAAACTGTATGGTGTGCAAATGTCAGCATTTGATTCAATGCTTGGTTTGGTTTAAATCAATATCCCCTTCATGTTTGAATTCATGATAATCAACAAGGGAACCTTAACCTAGGCTTTGTTTTAAAAGGCACCTATGTCTAACCTAAAGAGAACTGGTGCTCTCTGCAATGGAGATTCGAATCTGCATCAGGGACGTTACCACTGATACATTTAGGCTGAGATTGACTTTCTGAAAGAGTGAAAAAGGATACACATATTGGTTTTAGTTACTAATGTCCTTAACAGATAAATATGTACAGTTTTGTGATTAAATCTATGCTGTTAACTAAGACCGAATGACTTCATCAGTCACAGATTTGACCTGCACTAGGAGTATAAGACAAGGCGCTTGTCATCTGCCAAAGTAATCAGATGAATAGTAAGATATGTATTCATAAATATTGTATCAAAATTCATTCATATCCCTTAATGGAAGTTAAAAATACCATAAAGTACTTCACCGCATTCATTTAGTGTCGTTACAACTAACTTTACAAGTTTTCATATGAAAGTAGTGATGTGTAGACAGCCATGACCAGTTGACTGTGACTTCTATACCTTCGTGTTTAGTAAGTTTACACTAGGTGTGTGCTTATAGTCCCGTAATAAAACTTACATTTAAATTAGACAATGCTATATTATACTAGTATAACCGCTGTTAATTACTGACTGAAATAAGAATTTGGATACCACTCACATCAACAACCGGTAGTGATCGCTAGCAAGATTGCAGTGATCTGACCATCAGATGGCCATTTCGCTGATTTGGGGCTGAGCCTATAAGTGGCGTACCCGGTTTAACTCAGCTCAGACATCCAAATCGGATGAATTCACCCGATTTTCGGCTAGTTAATTAGGCGAACTGGTAATACGCTGGAACAAATTCATTATATACATACATAAATGTCGAAGGTTCAGCCGTAGAACACTCGCTAACCACGCCTTACGTGGTCCCGGGTTCGATCCTAGGCGTATGCACTACTGAAACCCTCTAAGTTGGTAGTAGCAGTATGTTGGTAGTAGAGGTGAGGTTGGACATGAGACTAGGAAATCCACCCTGTGAAGATAAAACCACTTCTGTCAAAACTTCAAAGCCATAGCTTTGAGTCCTATGTTGTACTCAAAACGTCAGGGAATTTTATATATATACATTTATGGTATCATACTTTTATGTTTGATTTTTTGATTGTGATCGACGGAATCAGGCAGATCACATGCATTGTGAGCTGAATGATTTCAGCTTCCAAAAGGGAACTGAGGGAAAATCAGCCAGAACTGTGTAAATTGCAAATCCCAAATTTAATTTGCAAAGTACGAATTCGAATCAATAGAAACTAATTATATGACAGAAGTTTTCAAGTTTTTGATTTATAGGGACTTGATCGGTTTTGTGATTGATCACAGGTTGATATAGGTTAGGGACAAGTGTTTCGTCTTCATTTTGGACTTTTCGATAGTATGCCCTAATCACTACACTTAGTATCAGACCAAAGACCTTCCAGTTACATTGTGAGCCTATTGACAATTCAGCCACCTTGGACGGATTCCAATAGTCCATGCATTCTAAATCGTGTCAGTTAGCGATATATATAGCATGACCTGCAGATAACGTCATTGGCAAGTGTTTATCTTCACATCTAGCCTGGTTGACTCCAGCGGTCACTGCTTCTGATGAATAGAATTCTAGACAACTTCGTCTTGTAGTCAGTCACTAGTGAACATTAGGTTAGTTTACAAGTGTTGATCTGCTTGGTTTCAAAAATTTCGGGATAGGTGTTGAATCATTCCTACTGTAAGTAGTCTCAGTCGATTCCATCAATAAAGTTTCAACTATCAATATCTTCTTCTACTCTCCTGATACATAGAACATTTGGAGAGTTTTTTTTTGTTCTAATGGCAAACAGAAAAGAAAAATGGGACCTGCACAGCTCAACTTTTAAATTATGTTCCTACAAAAATGACGTTATGATTGTGATTATGACTAATAATAAAGTGTATTCATCAAAACTTCTTCATCCAGTTTATAATAAATACTGGATCACTGTGTGTGTGTGATACATTCAATCAACAAATAAAAATGGAATTATATTCTGTCATCGTGGCCAAGTTTTACGCACACATATTCTACTTGTCTATTTTATAAAAAAATTTAGATGTCATTCAAACATTTCCTATACAAATTATTAACATAGAAAGGAATGTACAAAAAGTGATTTGGTCACAATTAAGTGAAACTTTACATATTCATAATGAATGTGAAGTATATTTGGAGTTGATTCAGTATAATCATGCAACGCATAGACAAATGGCAGTCAAACTACAACTGAATGAAACTAGTAAGTTCATATGAAAATACTTAATCAGCACAATATAATTTGTGTATTAAAAAAATTATTGTTTCCATTTACTGCAGTGACTGATGATTAAAGCAGAAATGAAGTTCTAGCTCATGGTGGGATTCGCAACCCATGGCCTTTGAATTATCAGTCTGACTCTCCATCTCTTGTGTTTCTAGAAATAATGATGTGATTAGCAGTTCACTTCTTCTAGCTCACCTGGTAGAACGCCCAACTAGCAATTAGGTAGCTGTTATTCCGGCTCCTTTTACAACGTAAGCGTGTCTCGTTAACACAGTACATGAACATCCAAGAAAAATACACAACACCTTAACTCGTTAATTAGTCTGTAGTTTACACCTGTAAGTGTTGTGTACAGATTTATCTGTCTTCTCAATGGAAGGACAATCCAGCTTCTATCATAATTTCTTTCATATTATCGCTAAATAGGATGGTGTATCTATCTGAAGCTGTGCCCTTAGAGTACTAATAATGAGGACGATGAATTCTCGTAGTTTAGAGTAACGGAAATGCTTAGTAATTTCAGTAATAATCATCGTCTTAATCGGTTGCTTATCTTTGGTTATTCTGCCTACAGTAAACATCTTTACCTTATATTATTTGAAAGATTACAATTCAAAGGATCGCAGGTGCCAAAATACTGTAGAAGTTTTTATTTACTTGCTGATAAAAAATGATAAAGTAAGGTTGATATCGAAGTTTTGGACTGGACTGCATGTACTTCTGGACTACTCACATAGGTAGCTAGATTGGGTCATTGAAGTATTTTCGTGAAAGTTGACAGCCCGTTAACACTTATTCGATACCCTTCAAGTTTATTTTTAAACCTTGCTTTAATCTGTTCAATATGCGTGTTCGAATGTTAGGGAACTGTGAAGGTCGTAAACCTCAAATTAAGATTATGACTTTTAAGTCATCTGTTAGACAACTTAAAGATTATAAAAGGTACAACTTCCTCCAAATGGGATTACTGTTTTTAAGATTATCTTGTAAAAAAACAACATAGCCAAAGTCTGTTAACCTTTCGACATGTGTTGCAGCAATTCGCACTAATAAGGTAAAATATTTTTTGATGTCGTTGTGTCCTCTAAACTGGATGGTTTGGTTGAGCAAGTTTCAACTTCTTTCTGGATACCATTCGCAGTGTTTACTTCAACGTAGAGGGAGTTTTTTGAATCCTCTGTGAATAATATAAGCAACAGGTTTTCCATTCATTACGAATTCAAGTAACTCACTTCACAACAAAGTAAGCACTGAAGATTTTGTGTAGGAAGACAATGAAACTGGAGAAACTAGGCCATCCAACTGAAAGAACTCAACTACATAGAAATAGTTCATCTGAGCTGCAAATTTTCAATAATGTAAAGTGCCTTACCTAGTACTACAAGACTAATGTGTCAGTTTCCTGATAACGAATAATTCCCCCGCAAACAGTTTAATTTCCCCTCAGCCTTTTTCGTATCAGAGATCTGCAATACTGAGTTCGGGCATTTAATAATTTAGTGTTAGCTGACTAATGAAATACTTCTACACAATGACAGTTAACGTGCTTATCTACTAACTGACATCTTTATGCACATCGTACTGCTGAGGATTGAGCTTACATTTCTACAAGTACCCACACCTGCCCGCGCAAACAAACACACACCCTGGTGGTTGTCTGGATATCGCAAATAGTGGTTTGGACAAAATATTCCAATAAAAATCTTGTGTTTAGTATGAAGCTACGCTGAAAAGTTTGTATGACTTCGTTAGGTGGTTTGTATAGACCGGTAAGCTGTGCCTCGACTACTGAACACAGACAGATTTTTTAGAGACAGACTATGTGTTTTAAATTTCAGGATTACCCATAGTCTTCATTCTGTTTATCTGTGATACCTTATTATGTAAATATGATAAAGCACCACAGATAAGACTGATTTTTATTTTGGTAAGTTCCATACTGCTTAGTCTGTCCACTTGTCTGTATCTTTTTCTGTATTATTCAGCTTTCACATATGATGATCTGGAACCGCTGACAACTTATGCATATAGCATTAATTTAATTTCTCCATTCGGTCAGGTTGAAAATATCTGTGCACCAGGATTTGCTGAAACACTACCTGAAGGTAAGTAGTAGTTTTATGTCATATATTTAGTTCTTCTAGTTGCTACTGTCTGGATTTTATCAGCCATGTTTCTAATCTCATTATCCAGATACATAAAAACGTGAATGCGGTCCCCTCTGAATTGATATCAGTTGGTTAGAGTCAATTTGCAGTAAGCTGTGGACATAGGTTTAGTGGTTATTCGAAGTCTTCAGCAAGATGTACCTGTGAAACGTGACTGAAGTAATTTCTTATGGAAGATCCCGACCCAGTACTGCGGTTAGATATGTTACTGCTGACACGTCACTCAGATATTATAAGGAGATCAATAAGTGGAATAGCCCATTCATCTTTTAGATTGTCTTCATTTACTTCACATGTATTACTGGTTAATTGTTGAAAATTGCTTTTCCAGTTCCCATCCTAATTGATTTTACTCAACCGAAATACTCGGTGTCTGCTGACATATTGACTTCCAATACGGCATATAATGATACCTTGAAATTAAGTTAGTATTATATGTGACGGAAAAATATATATCCAGTTACAGATTAGTGAGAAACAGGAAGTTTCGGACAACCGTTTCTTCCTAGTTTGTGGCTCTTCATCAGTGCTTATCTCCAACAGTGGTTCGTGACGAAGTTTACATTGAAACTAATTTAAATCCATACAAACCTAGAATATAAATGACAGTCTCTTTCTTGTTGATGGTTACTGGATGGCTGTTCTGAAGTTGTACTAAGAATTCATGGTTAGTTCGGTCCATCATGTCTGGGTGAAGTGGATAGTTACAGAAGGAACTGGCTGACAGAAGTTGGAATTCACGGGTCTCTGAATTCTAGACAAAGCTGATGAATGGTCAGTGAGCTTGGCCTTATAACTTGAAGGTCACAGGTCTCATTCCGACTGGGGTGGCGGGTAGGCGTTGTTGAAGAGTCCGGTACTAGGGTGCAACAGCATTCCAGCACTCGTTAATTTTCAGTGGTTCTCCAACTGGTGTTGGTTCGTGAAGAAGTCTACAATGAATAAAGTAGTCCTAATATAGGCATATATACATTACTTTATTACTAAAGTATGCAATATAATTTCCACTGATTTCGAATAAAAAGGATCAGTGAACATTAACTATGGAAAGCATTTTATGATTTTGGTTTCGGGATTTAAGCCTTGAAGTTTCAGTAGCATTGATATTGTTTTGCACGAAAGTTTCATTAACCGCATGCCTTACTTTCCCTCGTATCTAGGATTATTCACAGCTGGCAAACTAGGGGTGTGGTTCAAGAGTGCTTCAAGTAATCAAAATAACACAGATATACCAAATCAAAAACAAAATATTTTGGAAAACACAAAAGATTGAGCGAAGAAATATTTACTTTTCAATTAGATCCTCTTCTCTGGCTCTACTCTAATATATATAGCATTTTTACAATACACAACAATTTACCAAACAAGTGGTGATATGTTTGTTAACAATATTTAAACAGTGTCAAAATGTCAATGGGTAGATAATTAACGCAGAAAATCAATACACATTTAAAAAGTAGAAATGGATAGAATAAATTAATTTTACAAGAATAACACGTAATTAAAGATGAAGTGGTCAAAATAAAATAAAATAATTTGGACAATTATAATTTAATAGGGGGAGGGGGGCGACGTAGTCCTGTCTTGTAACGATGGCCACGGTAAGCAAAGTGGCTGTACAAATTTCTTCTGTACACATAGGCTTGGTTTCTTCTGGTGGATTCCAATTGCTTCTGCTGTCTGTAGAAGACGAACTCTTAGAGCAAAGTTTAGATTAGTCGGAATGCGATAAATAATTTTGAATGCAGTATTCACATCAACCTTGTGCTCAGTATCAACAAGGTGTGCTAAAATAGAACTACGAATAGATTTTGTTTGTCCCTTGCTTAAGCACGCTGGATGATGTTCAGAAATACGACGATGAAACTGCCTAATTGTACGCCCAATGTAGCTGGCTCCGCAGCTGCAGTCAAACTGGTAGACACACACCCTCGTCAGCTGAGGCAGTTGAAAGTCTTAAATCAAATCGAGTGGACTGTTGTTATAAATACATAAATAGTAAACGGAAAATAAATAGCTTATTGACCAAGAAGCCCTAGATAAGCTGCGAAATAATGAGAATATAATAATTTCGAAGCCTGATAAAGGCTCTGGAGTAGTAATAATGAATAAAACTGAATACGTAGATAAGATGAATGGAATACTCAGTGATCATCGAAAATTTCAAAAAATTACATCTTCCGTCGATCCGACAGAAAAAGTGGAGAAACAACTAATTGAATCACTAAAAAGACTTAAACAACAAAGTAGTTTCATAGATGGTTTATATGAATCTTTAAAGCCTACTGGCACGGTTACACCAAGATTATATGGACTACCAAAAGTGCACAAAATCGGTTTGCCGCTTCGACCAGTTTTGGACATGTGTAATTCCCCATATCATGCAACAGCAAAATGGCTAGTGAAGCTGCTAAAGCCTCTGCATAATGAATTGGTAAAACATAGCGTAAATGGCAGTTTTGAATTTGTTGACAAAATAAGAGATCTTAATGTGAGGGACAAGTTTATGATATCTTTTGATGTATCCTCCTTGTTCACCAATGTACCGTTAATGGAGACAGTGGATTTTATATGTGAGGAGGTTACTACACGAAACATAGACATCGGGATTTCTATATCCACCTTGAAGGAACTTATTTTAAGATGTACAATGAATGTTCATTTCTTATTCAATAAGGAATATTACAGGCAAATTGATGGTGTAGCTATGGGTTCCCCATTAGGTCCGGTCCTAGCTGATTTTTTCCTCGCTACATTAGAGAATGGACCACTGAAAGGAGTAATTAATGACATGGATTTCTACTGTCGATATATGGATGACACATTTGTGGTTATGAAAGACGAGAATGATGCAATGAATATCCTTGACAAGTTTAATGATGCACATTCAGCAATAAACTTTACTATAGAGAAAGAAAGTAATGATAGTATCTCATTCCTAGACGTCTTCATGGCAAGGAAAGATGATGGCACACTAAGAAGGAGTGTGTATAGGAAACTTACAACAACAGGTCAGTACACCCATTTTTGAGTTTTGTACCTTTGAAATATAAACGTAACCTGGTAAAGTGTCTGGTTCATAGAGCTAAGTTAATCTGTTCAGACGACTGCCTCAATGAGGAGCTTAAGATTATTAAGGAATTACTTCGAAAAAATGGTTATCCAGATAAATTTATTGAGAAGAATATGAATTCAGCATCAAAGAGAGTCAGTATTGCTACAGTTTCGAAAAAGCCAACGTTCATAAAATTGCAGTTCCTCGGTGACAACATCAGTGAAATCATAACACAGCGCTTGAAGAATGCAGTTAAAAGAGCTTATTATGCAGCAGAAGTACGTTGTCTCTTCAAAACCACCCCTATTCTATGTTCGAGAAATAAGGACAAACTACCTAATTTTGCCTCTTCTATGTGTGTCTACCAGTTTGACTGCAGCTGCGGAGCCAGCTACATTGGGCGTACAATTAGGCAGTTTCATCGTCGTATTTCTGAACATCATCCAGCGTGGTTAAGCAAGGGACAAACAAAATCTATTCGTAGTTCTATTTTAGCACACCTTGTTGATACTGAGCACAAGGTTGATGTGAATACTGCATTCAAAATTATTTATCGCATTCCGACTAATCTTAACTTTGCTCTAAGAGTTCGTCTTCTACAGACAGCAGAAGCAATTGGAATCCACCAGAAGAAACCAAGCCTATGTGTACAGAAGAAATTTGTACAGCCACTTTGCTTACCGTGGCCATCGTTACAAGACAGGACTACGTCGCCCCCCTCCCCCTATTAAATTATAATTGTCCAAATTATTTTATTTTATTTTGACCACTTCATCTTTAATTACGTGTTATTCTTGTAAAATTAATTTATTCTATCCATTTCTACTTTTTAAATGTGTATTGATTTTCTGCGTTAATTATCTACCCATTGACATTTTGACACTGTTTAAATATTGTTAACAAACATATCACCACTTGTTTGGTAAATTGTTGTGTATTGTAAAAATGCTATATATATTAGAGTAGAGCCAGAGAAGAGGATCTAATTGAAAAGTAAATATTTCTTCGCTCAATCTTTTGTGTTTTCCAAATGTCTAAATGGTGATATTTTCTATAACAAAATATTTTGCCTGGTGCAATAATTAATGCAGCTGAGTAGGTCGAAGGGTCACTGGAACTAATATCCATGGCTAATTACTCAATAGCTCTGAATTCTGCTGATGTTTCTACCTACTTCTACTTGGATGACATAATCATCATTCTAGATGATACTGTCGATGTTAGCTTCAGAAGAAATAATGCCGGCGCTCTAGAATTTTTGAAATTCTAGGGAAATATACTTATGAAGAAAATAAAAGATAATTTAGCAAAGAAAATTCCCTGCATCGACGAAATAATCTCTAGAGTATGTATATTTACCAAAAATGTATAGTAGTCCATTAAGTAAAAGGGGTGACGTTATCGATGTAATTACTTAGAACCGGCTTCAAAAGTAAATATAAAAGTTTTAAAATACGTAATACTCAGTAGCACAAAGGAAGAAAGTGTTAGAAATATGATAAAGTTGAAATTTTTATTGAGTGAGAAGAAAGGTGGTTGAGTGTCCATTTAACAAGTATGAGCTGAGTCAGGAAACGTACAAAAGGAACGCGTGAGAGTGATAATAATGAAATAATTATTAAATTAAAAGTAAACTAATCATTAAAAATAAAAACAAAAACATTCAGGGAGAGACTAATGAAGAGGTTAATGCCATAGTAGAATAAGAGACTGGACAAATGTTGTCTGTATACAGAGTTCGGGGTTGTAGTGACTAATTTCCAACGCCTCCACCATGCAAAAATACTGAAACCTGATGTCCTTTGTACCATTTAGTTTCACCTTGTAGATAGTCTTGAAAGACGACTCTGGTGGAGCTTCGTAACTTGAGTTCACCAAGTGC